TTGACGCCATCCAGGTTGAAGACGGAGACCATGCACGCGCCGTCCGTTTCACACGTGGAGTTCGCTTGTTTGCAGTCGGAGCACAAACATGTCAAAGCTGCAGGAATCAAAACAAGACCACCTCCTTAAAACCCACCAGAGACCAAACGCTCAAACAAGAGAGAACTTTCTTGTTCCAGTTTCCCGTTTCAGAGGGAACGGGCTGTTCTCAGGCTCAGGAAGAACTGGCTTTAGGAACAGAGCAAGTCACGTTCAGTATTTCAGACCCCACAAAATGTGGAAACAGAGGAGACTTTCCAGAAGACGACTGCCCAGACAGCCCTTCTTCCTGCCTCTGTTGCAATCCCTAACAGAGATGACCCAAGTCATCCCTGCAAACTAGGCTAGATTCTACCGAGATCCACTCCCAACCCAAGCTCGGGTCAGAACTCACGCCGAAAACAACGATTACTCAAACTGACAGACTTGTTTTCGCCCGAACGCGCTGCCCTACGCCGAAGACAAGCTGCCTGGCACGGCACGACCACCACCCCAGCCCGTGCGAGGCAAGAGGCAGTTGGCAGACGCCAAAACCAACCCCATTCCAACCGACTACGCCAGCCAAGCGTGCCACGCGCAACTGGATCAGTCACTTATTTAGTAACTGCCTTCCCGAGCCGAGACGCTACTTTGGGTCACAGAAATTCCTGGCTTTTTGCCTGCTCTCCATCAGGATTATTTGGGTAAAGAACGAAGGAGAAACTCCGAGGCAGATTCCCACATTTTTCCGCCTCCCAGCTGTCAGTGTGCTTTCCTCAAGCTGCCTGAAAAACTGTAAGCAAATCCCCAGGCCTCGCCATGCCACGGAACAAAGAGCGAGTACAACAATGTCAAGGAGAAGGGTGGGGCTTGTTTAGCAGCAGTATTTCCTTCAGCTTTCATCAGATCTTCCAGCCTCCCCGGAGGGATTCGGAAACATGTACTTACCCGCTGCAGAAATGGTCTTGCAGGTGGAGAGAGAGTTTGAAGAAGTGTTTTAAAAGATACAGGCGCCACAGTTAACTCTCCCCACTCCGACAGCTCAACCCTCTACGTCTGCGTGTAACCTCTTGGTTTAAAGATAAACACCAAAGTCAGTGTCACTCCTGTGCATCAGGGGCTGTGGAAATGCTGAGCCCCCAGTCGCACCATCTCCGCAACTGGCAGATTTAAGGAGCATCAGCATTCCAGGTACTCACGGCACTGGAAGAGCCTCCCGCTCCCAGCCAGCACTGGGTCCAGAGCCCAGCAGGGTCCCACGTCTGGGGACACGTTACCTTGAGCTTAACGAAAAATAAGCAGGTCCTGCTCAATGCCAGGGTTCATTTAGGAGAAGACACCCATTATCCCTTATCGCCAGCGTCCTCGGTAAATCGGTCAGCCTAATTGCATTACTATTTACTTAATTCTCTCTGGACACGCTGCTCCTCAGCTCCTCGCTGGTGGTGTGAGCTGCTGACCAGCTCAAGGGTGGGCTGCAGTATTTCAGAGCTACATGCAGGGGCTGCTGAGTTTGAACCAAGAGATTCCAAACGGCAGGAGCACTAAAAAGCCAGTAAAACACACAGGAGCTGTTAAGTGAGATGTCTTTAAAAAGCATTATGAGCACATGTGGCTTATGCACAGGCCAAGGAAAAGGGATGTAGAAGAGAAAATGGACAGGGAAGACCCTGAGACCCAAACGTGTTGAGAGCACCATGCACATGGATCACACAGCTTTTTACAGGAAACTTTATAATAAAAGGAAAAAAAAACAAAAAACACTAATGTTCAACTTGACAAACTGCCCCCAGTACACTGTTTTCCAGTGGGCAGCAGAGCACAGAAAAGCCAATTCTTCTGAAAAATGCCCACACTTAGGGGAACAAAGGTTGGTTATAATGGAGTTTTTATGAAAACATGAGAAAGGAAAGAGCAGCCCAGGCACATTCCTACCTTCAAGTACACTTAAAAGGAAAGAGCGTTTTAAAGCATCTCCTTTATCACTTTATCAAAAACTCAAGGCACAAATTAAAAACACTTAAACCATGCACATTTCATCACGTAGGATTTTTTTCAGTTCAATGGAGGTACGGTAAAATTGAACTTTGTTCCTGTTAAGACTCATTTCTAAGGTCTCAAACCCAAGATTTCAGCTACAGCAGTTGTGCTTCCAGAAGCTCAGAAGTAAACAAAACACTTCAACGCACTCATAAAACTGGTTTTGTAAACTTCTGGAAGTATTTGGCCTGAAACTAAGCACCCCTTTGAGAAGGAAAGCGGAGGAGCTGGTTGTATCTGCTCAGTTTCCTCTGCAGAACTAACCCAAAAGAAATCAGTTTACCTGCCAGGTGTGACACCCGAGCCCCGGTGCGCAGGGACAGAGTGAGAAGATCCTTATCTGTTCCTCGGGAAAGCAGAAGTTTCCTGCTAAGGAGGGGTATGCCCCGCAGAGCACGGCCTCCTTTCACCTCCTGCTCCCCCTTGGAGACAACAGTTCCTTTTTAAGAGGAATTCTCACATTTAGCACCTCAGGCACCCCTACGGTAAGGAAAGCTGCAGGAACACAGAAAATTAAGCCTTCAGCACCAAGGGCTTTCTAGATATCCCAATCCATAACCTCTGGGCTGCAGGGAGGCACTCAAATTTTAGGAAAGACGATCAGATCCCTGGGTAGAAGCCAAAGTCCAGCTCCAGCCTCCCTCGTGCAGCCAGGAGCCGACTCTGTCTTTATTTTTATTATGAAAAAGCCCAGAATACACATCTACCATGGCTGCAGCCATGTTCCTCCCTGAGCATCGCCTGCCACCGGCTGCCAGAGCTGCAGCGAGATGAGCCCCGCTCCTACGGGCACCGGCTGTGCCGGGGAGGAAAGGCCTCTCCACACTGGGACGCGCTGGGAACCGAGGAAAATTACAGGGCAACCTGCACGGGTCCAGCATTTTGAGTTTGACTAACCAGAAGGGAAAATTCTTCTTGTATCGGTAACACCAGAAGTCAGGGATAAGCAACTGTTGTTTCCCCTTGGGTGGGGGTCTGAAAACAAACGGGTACCCAGAGCCCCCGCCGGGCATCTCTCGGGTGCCCCCGACAGCAGCTGGGAATGCCCGGGTGAAGAAAAGGAGACAGGAGTGAAAAAAAGCACTTTTCACACCAACGGAACTCTATTTATTTGGGAAGAAAAGCTCCTGTTGAGCAAAACATCTAATCTACTTAAGAAAAGAAAGTGGCTGGGCCGAAGGCAAGAGATGGAGCAAAGGAAAAGCGCCGAGCAGCTTGCCCGGCCGGGGCGGCGAGCTCGGAACGCCCGGGGCCGAGTCTGCACGGAAGGCTGGCCGCGGAGTCGGCTCCATCTGCTCAGCACGCTCCTTCCGACGCTCCGCTCCGAGACAAACCCGGCCCTCCGGAGAAGCTGTTTGAACAGGCCTGGCATTAAGCTGCGGATCCTCGGAAGGCGAGCTTTGTTCTCGCTCGGGAGATGGATCGGGTTGGCGTTAACGCTGAAGCGAACCCTCGTGGCGATTTAATCCAAGGAATTTGTGACGGCAATCGCAGGAACGAGCCGGCCCGGTGGTCCGTTGGCATTGCCAAGATAAACTCTCCCCGATCCGAGGCTAACACAGCCCGGGGCTCGGTGGCTGGGCCAGGTGGGTGGGTGCCCCTTCAAGGGACCACCCTGAGCCCAAGAGGTGCTCCTGCTCCCCGCGAGGTTCCCAGCAAGGGTGACGGGTCACAGGCGGCAGCGGGATCGCTCCCAGTAGGAACTGGGCACACGGAGGTGCTAGCATCCATTTGCATTAACTCCAGCAGAGAGGAAGACCCCCTTTTACCAAATTCCCCCATTAAAGGTGATGTTTATTTACAAAATGAATTCAAACAAAGAGGTGGGGGGCCACGGATCAGAGCTCTGGGCTCCACGGAGACTAAAACATGAAGCTCTGCCTGTCAAAGAACGTTCCTTTTTATCCAGCAACTCTCTGAGCTCATTCCGCACACATTTATTCTCACACAGGATTGCATGTGTCAAGATGTCTCTGCAAGCAAGACAGGGGAAAGTTTCACAGCAAAATCCAACGTAATGGTGTTGGAACCTTTTGGAATACGTTTTCCAAAATCTCCTGAAGCTGTGCTACGCGAGACGACATCTTCTCGGGGCTGAACGCTACCTGATCAAGATGTATTAAGATAATTAACCTGAGCATGATCATTGGTAAAATTGCCAATAACCACCCACGTATTTACCAGATAAACAGATTTTTGCAGCGATCGTAAGCTGCTGTTCTTTTTCACCAGTTCCAATCGAGGCTGGAAGAACGATTCCCCTGACTTTGGAGCCTTTACAAGGCTCTGGAAGAGGAGCTGCAATTTATTATGTCTCTGTGCAGCACCTAACTTAATGAGGCCCGTTCTGGTAGCGATGTTTTAATGCTGCAGCAGCATAATGTTCGCAAGAGAAATGGAAAACAACTGGGTTTGTACCTCTGCAGTTTCTTCAGATGCTCTAATGAAGAGGGACGTGTGTAAACACGCTTGGAAGAAAGAAATGCCTTTTAGTGTTTCGCTACACGCTGTGCTGAAATAAATAAAGAATAACCTTTATCACAGAGCGGTTTAGGAATGACATCCATTCCCTCGCGGGAGGGGAGCAGAGGTCTGCACCAAGAGTCCTCTTGGGCTCCTCCTCCAACCATACCACCCCAAGACACTCAAAGCTATCCGATGAAGACCTTAACACCCAAAGATTTACTTTCCATTGCACTCACCTTGATTATTCTGCTGCCTGGGGTCAACAACTGGGATCCCTACATCCCTCTCTAGGATACACCCGAGTCTAAAATGCCCACTTCGTACAGCACACCAGGACCTTCTCCAAGCCCCAGAGTCAGCTCACCTGCACCCACCACCTCCAAAAATCAAGTGCAAGACTAATTCTGGACACTCACACTGCCCCTGTTTCCTCACAGCTGAAGAAATGAGTACAGATTTGCCCTTCTGTCCATACACTACCACCATCTTGGATATTTTTCCTACATCTTGTGGTTCCGTCAACTTTTCCTCCTGCTTTTGGATCTCAACATCTCTTTTGCTCCTTGCTGGTGCTTATGAAATCTACTGACCCACTGCTGCTAAACGAAACAGAGTTAAAATTAGCTGCAAAGTACTACGAAAAAAACCACTTTCACGCAAGTCATCCAGAAACTAAAAATTATACTGGGATATTTAAAGTTGGAAACAAGAGTCCCAACTTTTTCAAGCTGGCTGCAGTCCCCTGGCACAGGCTGAACCTGACGTGAATGCATCAGGGCTGACTAGAAAACATACACTAAATGGAAAAAGGAAAAAAAAAAAGGCAGGAAGAACGTGCTCTCACCTTTAAAGTGAAGAACTTTCCCTGCATCTACTCCAGTAACACAAAAGGAGAGCTTCCAAGTGAATGTTAAATAAACAAATTGACAGGAGTCTCATCATTAATAGGTTAATTAGAAAAAGCCTTGACATTTCTGCTGCTGTTGCTCTACAACTCCCAAAACAGACATATGGCTCCGAACTCCCTCTCCGGGCTCCGGTCTGACACCTATTTTGTGTTTTAACTTGTCAGGAAACCAGTTTAGGAGCCACCCGTACCACACCAGCACTGTGCAAACCAGCCACACGGCACGGCAGGTACACATACATCATTCCCCATGGTTTTCACGATTCAAACCCAACGCTGTGCATCACCAGGCAACTGGCACACACTTTTTTTTTGTTTAAATAACAAGTTGTTCCTGGGGCAGCCTGTATCCCAGCACCCAGCAGTCCATGGGTTACTCCTAAGAAGCCCACAGAAAGTGGCAAGCGCTACAAACCCAAGCCTTCAACAAGGGGCTTTGATGTAAGGAAGATATTTTTCACTCGGATATAAGATCTAAGGAAGAAATTCTTCCCTCTGAGGATGGATGAGGCGCTGGCACAGGTTGCCCAGAGAAGCTGTGGCTGCTCCATCCCTGGAAGTGTTCCAGGCCAGGTTGGATGGGGTTTGGAGCAACCTGGTATAGTGGAGGGTGTCCCTGCCCATGGCAGGGGGGTTGGAACTGGATGGTCTTTGAGGTCCCTTCCAACCTAAACCATTCCATGATTCTATGTGCAGGGAATCCTGCTTTTCTGATGAAAAATCATAAATATGGGACCACAACCAAAGAAAAGGGAGGCCGGGAAGCCAGTGGCTCAAACAATAAGGACAAAAAAAGAGTGCTCCCACCCCGTACGTCTGCTCACACGTGCCGTTCTGACTCCACGAGCTCAGCACCAGCGAGGGATTCATCCCCGGAATACCATCGCAGCTTCCTCCCTGGAGCTGCGCGATTCCTCCTCGGAATAACCGCGCCGGCTGCGTGCTGTACAACATATTTCTCCGGGTCGACACCCAGTGAACTTTGCTTGCTGTTCAGAGAACTGACGTTTTACTCCGCTCCTTTCGCAACAGCCGTTTCCGGAGCATCCACTACTGGCAGCGGACGGCGAACCCAGGGGA